CCACAAGCCAATAAGTTGAACTAGGAAAAGCGTTTCTCCTGTATCCATAAGATTTTTAGATGTTTTTACAACAAAAATGGCACAACTCCCGGAATCAGTGTTGAGTATTGTTTATGGTAAAATGTATGTTGTGATTAAAAATGGCACCTTTTGTGAAGCCTAGAACCACCTCGGAAGTGCTGTTTAGGGCAGGCTGTAAAAGAGGACCAAACATAAATCCAGGATTAAGCACAACCAAGTCGATCCCATTTGCTTTTGCAAACCTCCAGGCTGCTTCCACGGCTAGAGTTTTTGGGGCCATATACCAATGCTGCAAAAACCCAAAGTTGGAGAAGTAGATACTTTTAGACATTATGAAAAGACAGCAGAAAATGAACATATTACCTTACTTTTCTCACAAAAGTGTGGATCTGAAAACCAAGTCTCATCCACCACCGTATCAGGAGTACAAGGTTTTTCATTGTACACAACCGAGCCGATGGAAGCAGTTATTACAACTCTCTTGATGGAACGAACTTTGGCACATGATTTAAGAACATTTAGCGTACCCTTTATTGCTGGATCAATTAATTCTTTCGGAAAATGAGAAATCGAATTCAATGACCACAAGAAAATATAAGTAGAAAATATTTAAATTGTACGAAGATTTACAATTTTCAAGAATACAATTGCACCCCAAATCTCTAACCTTCCTCGATCAATCCTTAAACCTAATGCTTTATTTCAAGCGATCAGATGCTCGTATGTTTTCGTTCCCTAATGTGAAGATCGCTTCAAGGGACAAGCATGTCTTTGATCCGGGGCAATTACAGGTGATTTGGAGTGGATAATTTCCTACTATTAATCTCAACATTATATTTTTACTCATCCAACAACTCTATGTATAATTAAAAGAATTATTATATAATTAAATCATATCCCTAATTATATATATATATATATATAATATTTACTTAATAAATACAAATTGTCATAAAATAAAGATTTTTCACGTGAACAGGGGCTGACAGGGGCGAGTCCCCTAAATTTGGCCAAATTTCATTTAAACTCCTTGATCTTTTTAATTTTACTATTGGAGAAAATCAACTTATCAAGGCACATCCGATTACTGCAAAGAAAATCAACTTATCAAGGCACGTTTTTAAATTGACAGAGGATATTGACGGAGAATACTATCAGAGGTCTTTATGTACGAGAGCATGATAGAGAGTTAAGTACGTTTCTCGATGTTTGTTGTTGTGATAGTGTTGATCTTGTTTGATATCCGACCATATATGATGTAGGTTAAGAGATTAGATACTTGAAAGTTGTGTTCATTAATGTTGTGTGGTCCGAGCTAGCACCACATGGAGAGTCGTGCAAGGATTGTCTGATGTTATGTGGTATGGATATTGCACCGCTATGTTGTTTGATGTTGTGTGGTCTAGAACCTATGATCTCTCTATTTCTACATTGTGCTATGTGATATTCCTAGTAGTAGTAATGAATGATATGTATGTTTAGATGATTCATGCATGCCGTTGTCATGCAACTATGCTTATACTTGTATCACATGCTTAAATTATGAACTGCATGAATTGTCGTAGCATAGTTGTGTCACCGAGCTTGTCAAGCTCCGCATTCAGATGTTTTTATTTGTAGATGATTAGATTAGATAGCATCTGAGGAGCTTCATCATAGAAGAATTCCAACACCAAGTTGTGTTTAGAGTACAATATCTTAGTTCTTATTTAAGCTATGTATTCGTAGAACCTTACGTATTTTTGTTGATGGTCTGTAACTCGATTATTTTGTTATACTTTGATTTAAACTATAAGCTTTGTATTTTGTATAGCTTAACATATACTTATTTTAGTTATTACGAAGAACTGACTGTTTTAAAGATTTTTAATAATGAGATTTTAAAAATAAAAGTTAAACATTTTGGAAATTTTGTGTGATGTCTAAATTATTCGAATTAGAATTATATCAATTTTAAAGTGTTGCAATAATTTTTTATTAAAATAAATATTTAAATTAAACTAATCCTCACCTCAAAATCATATTATAAAATACAGAAAATAAACAGATATTTATGTGTCAAATTGTTAGGTGAAAAAAACAGATAATAGACGTAGTAGCGGTTATCGCTAATACTCATCCAATCTGGAATGAACCCAGACCCCCGGTAAGCGAGTTTCTGTCAGGTACCTAATCAGCGAGCAAAAATCATTCCACAGTTAAGCTCTTCTATTGGAACTATATTTAAAGTTATAGTTTTGCTGTCAAATAATTCAATCTTCTCAAAAACAAATCAATAAAGAAAAGAGAGTAGTAAAGAGAAGTTGGGTCGGTCCACAGAGATTTTAAAGTTTATGAAATTGTGGACTTTCTGATTTTGGATCTGGATAAGATGAGATAATATAGGGATTTAGATAAAAGATGATATTAAAAAAAGAGAGATTTTAAGTTGTTTAAAACATGATATAAGGATAAAATAAATTAATTAATTAAAAATAAATTGAGATAAAAAAAATTATTGTGAAAACACCTCAGGCTTTAGCTTTGCCTCAATTTCAAATGATCATCGAAATAGATTTTCACTTTGGATATCTGATGGTTACAGTCTACAGGGCCTAACCTGTAACTTGTTTCTCTCTCTTATAAATCGACTATCCAAAAGTTATTTTTGAATTTTAGTCCTTATGTGGACTAACTAGGACTATTGTCGTCAACACCAACTTAGATTTAAAGATCTGGAAAAACCCGACTCGGACTATGTTGTCTCAATGAGAATCGAGTCCGATCTCAATATCCCTTAACAGACCGCCGCTAAGTGTGTTCACAGGAAGTTGAACTTGCTACCAGTCGATTCTTTCTCCCAACTTTAAACCAAAACAACATCCAAACCAACGAGCTCTTTTTGATTTAAAAGCATTTTGGTTATAAAGTAAAGGCCGATTGTCAATTATATTCTCCATAAAATTACCCAAAGGTATTTAGGTGCTTTTCAATCATCACAATTGGAATTTATAGCCTACCCAAAGTAAAGAAGAAGAGTGAAATCTGAATGTGTTTTTAAGTTTATAGGGGGTATTTATTGCTTTCTAAATATCTAAAAATAATTAAAATATAATTTCTAAAAACAAGAGATAATTACTAAAGATAATTCTTGAAAATATTCAAACTAATATCTTAAAAACATGAGATAATTTTGAATTCAAATTTCAAAAACGCAACTAATACGTTCGTCCTTTTAGAAGCGCTGACCGGACTTTCTGGAAGCTGCTGACTCAACAGCATGTCAGATGTGGCATGCCCAGAGTTATGCCCACTAATCCAGCCTTTATTCCGAGAATAAAAGAAACTGCAGAATTCTGTTCTTTTAGTATAATTTCCATAATCTAATGCCTTGTACAGAAAATGAATTAAAACGAACAAATCAATCACAAAAACCAACAACTAAGGAGCAAATTAAAGACAAAATAATAACAAAATAAACCACCTATCAGATAGTTATAGGATACAATCTAATAGTTTAAGGTTAAGAAACGATAGAAATAGACGCGACTAAAAATGTTATAAAAAAGTATAATATTTTAGGTTGTTTCATTTTTTAATCTTAAATTAGATTATTTAAAAAAAAAAACTTTCGCTATAACTGAAGCTTAAAGTGAAATAAATTGAACCAAATTTAGAAGTTATGTAAGGATATTAATGCATGCAAATTCCTGATTCTGAAGTCGCGCAAGCATCAGCAAGCTAGTCTTGTTTGGTTTCCCATGATGGATAAAATAAACAAACGAAAATGTTCCCTTACCATAAGAACCAATAAGTCTAATAACCTTAAACTACTGATTCCCCCCCCCTCAATTAATGCACTTCTGGAGCAAGTCTCATTTTTATTTTAATTGTGTACATCATATGCTTGTTTCTAGTCCAATTAGATAAAAACAGAGATATTGAACTGTCTCAAGTTCATGGTTAGCATAAATGAGGTTAACCTAAATTTTGACGGTTGAAGTGGGATCAATTTAATCTATTTCACTTTACTCAGGTCTAATTTACATAGTGTTCTGCGCTCTTTATCAACTCTTTTGAATTTGCCCTTGCATGTGAATTCTACATGTATATAGACACGGGATTTGATGGCAAAACTTATGAGATAATGTTCTCGAATAAATTAATTCATGAGATAATGCACTCCCTAGATTAATTGCTCAAATAGGGTGAAATTCACAGTGTTGGCCGTAGGTCGTCATGCCATCCGGGCGACCTACTAGGTCGCCATTTCTTCCCGGCGAGCTACGAGATATTTTGCATGTGTCATGCACATCCCAACACGCTGGGCATCCGAGACCATCCGAGCGAGCTATGCGAGAGCATCCGAGGCCATCCGAGCGCATTCGATCGAGGCCATCCGAGGGGTAGGTCGCCATGCACACTGGGCTAAGTAACAAATATTACCTACATCGGTAATTAGGCTTTTATGCGATTACCTAAATTTCCTTAAGTAACAACGATTACCTAATTACCGATATAGATAATGAAGCAGCTAACCACAGCTCATAGGGACGGCATGACGACCTCCTTAGGAGCGCCTGACGACATATGTTCGAACTTTAGATTTCACCCTATCTCAGTAAATAATTTCAGTTAGACCTTATTTCAACAAATAATTTTTTTCAAAACTCTAACGCAACAAATCACCCGGATTTGATGTTAGAGGACTAACTTTTTAAATATTAAAGGAACGAACTTATAAAATTGAAAGTGTTGTGTCTTCTTCGGATCATATGTTGCATGTTTCAAACATAACATATTTTGAAGAATTGAAATTGAAATCAGACATGGACATTGTTTTCTTTCAAGAGAAAGTTACAAACTCGGGTCACGAACAGTGCAGCCACGTTGTAGCAGGTGCTTAACGAGCCATGAAGCTACGTAACCAGACGCTCAGGTCACGCAAACCACCTTTCCTGATGAATGCGCATCAGCGTCGGACTCAGGAGCAGTCTCAGTTAAAGAAGTTGACTTTTGGAATTTTCTTGACCTAAAGCTATGGTAGAATCTGAAGGATCAATGTTAATGCGGAAATGAACTTCAGCTGTCTCCACAAATTTTGAAGCTGCCATTTCCTTTAACAAAGATATGGCTGTCTTTACATCATACTCTTTCTCAGTTTTCCTTAACTTTTGAATTTCCAAGAATCTCTTAGACCTAATCTGCAGTTTGAACCCAATAACATTACAATCATATCTGATACACGCGTGAGAAGAATGGACCCAGAAAAGGGGAAAAGGAGTGAACTTTAAAACCCACATACTCTATCCATCTTAAGAGGAAAAACAGCTATTCCTTTCTTGAGTTTAGGAGGGGAAGCAGTGGCAGTATCAGCCATGGCAGCCATAACATGGTTGGAATCTCTTTGGGGACATGGAATACACCAATCGAGGAGGGACTTTCTGTGTCTGGAAGTGTTCAGAACAAGTGGGCAAAGAGAAAAGGTGAGTGTGTTGGATTTGAAGGATAGAATGGAAGGAGTAAGGTCTTGCGTCTGTACTGCGGATGCGGAGTAGGTTAGCGTCGGGAATGATGAAGGTGTGGAACAAGCAGCCATTGTTAGGAACTGACGGTGTGGTACAAGCAGCCAATTAAAGGGGGATGAGAGATTATTTAAGGTCTAGTAATTTTTGTTGATTATAGACCGGTCTTTCGCAATGTAACTGCCTTTTCATTTTGGGATAAATTAATATTTAGACCCTAAATTTTAATTTTTTTTTAGATTTGATCATTTTTATAGTCAATTTTAAAACTTGAAACTTTACCAAATTGATGCCCGGATTTGAACTTTAAGTTTACTCAGCATCTGAAATTTTTGAAGTATGCTGTAATGGGTTTCTTTTTATGCTTAGCATTCTGAATGGTGGTAGACTCTAAGCAATGGCTAAGTTGTGATAATACTCTGATTTTTCTTTTAATCTGTCATACTATTTCAATGCCTGGAGGTTCATCTTGTTCTTTGCAAGCATAATGTTGTTTTGTTCTTTGCATCTATTTATCATCTTGATTCTTGACTAAATAGTTCCGTTTTTAATTCCAGGCAAAGTTTGCTTCTTCACCAGGCAGCACTCAGCCTGCTGTTAGACCCTTTGTTCCTTCAAATCCTCCTGTTCTACGAAATGCTGATCAATACCAACAGCCAAACTACCTTGGGTTCTCAGTTATATCCCGTCTGTATAGCTACATCATTTTCATATTTGATGCCAAAGCTATTCATCTGAGACTGTGGTATACCGAATTACTTTTGCATGCTTTTCAGGGTGGTGCCAACCCTACGTTTCCTTTACCCCCTGGGGCTGGTTCACTTGGATCTGTCCCATCGCAAGTGGGATCAGTTCCTGGCCCAAAAATGCCCCAAGTTGTAGCTCCCAGCTTAGCACCTAAGGGATTTACGCCAGTGACTCGGACCAGTGATGGGCCCAATGCAACCACCCAGCTCTACACAGTTGGTGCCAGTACAACCAGCTGCAGCAACTGCTGCTCCACCAACTGTGCAGGCTCTTGATACTTCAAATGTTCCTGGTAATTGCTAGTTTCTTGGATGCTAATGCCTAGTGTCAAGCATGTTTATTGGATTGTGGTGATATTCTAATTGTATGGTACGTTCACCTCACTGCACAGAATTATTCCAAGAGGGTTTACTATTCAAGCGAAGTTTATGTTTACATCTTTACTCTTCATGTGAAAAAAACTTGTGGATGATATGGAATACTTGTGTTGATGGCTTGATCTTGTTTGTTTTTCAGCTCACCAGAAGCTGGTAATCACAACCTTAACTAGACTTTTAAATGAGACGTCTCAATCACTGGGTGGCGCAAGTGCAAACCCTGCTAAGAATCGTGAAATAGAAGACAATTCAAGGAAAATAGGCGCCTTATTTGCCAAACTCAACAGTGGAGACATTTCAAAAAAATGCTTCTGATAAGCTCATTCACCTCTGCCAGGCGTTGGACAATAATGATTTTAGTAAAACAAAAGAAAACTCTACAGTTGACTAATAATGGCAATGGCAGGGGCCATCCATAAATAGATACATATACAACTGTAGAATACATGGCAGATTAATAAGCATATGAAAAAGAGAAGCACATGAAACTGCAAGAGGCTAAACTGTTGCTTGGCAGAAAACAAAAAATTTCAAACTTGTGTTAACCTTTTGCATTGTTGGGTCATCTTCTTATCTCCATTATCAATGGATTTTTACTTTAAATAGAAAGGAATTTTGTGAGGAATAGTAAAGAAAGCAGCTTGTGTTGTCTCCCTACCAGATCTAACAGAATGGATTGACTTGGTTATTGCTTTTGTGCAGTCCTTTTCTGGAACAGCAAAGCCTGACCTGATACTCCTATTTTATATACTTTGGTATTCCCACACAAACAAACAATTCATGAATTAATTATTTGGCTTGGGTTTTGGCCCCGCCATTGATATGATAAAGTAGCAATAATATCTATGGATTTCCAGAAATGAGATTAAGACTATCAACATGAGAAAAGTGATCTATCTCTACAAAAAAATGACAAACTAAAAGCAAATCAGGTTTTGGCCCCCTCTCATCTGATTCAATTATTGGAATTCCTTTCCTAAACTAGTTAATGGAGGAAGGCTTGAAGATGAAATCAGATTTCCAGGAAAACCAAATCTTCGAAATGCATTATTTTGAATACATTATTCAGTTATTGTGAAAGTAGGCTCAAATTACATGAATCATACGTTTTGAATCAACTCATGCAGCATTTCCAACATATGTCTGCTTTGCAGCAAAGATAAGACTAACAGCCTATGAAATGGACATTAGCAAGGTCCTGATCTACATGTGAAAATGAACACCACATCAACAATTCAAAGAACCTATGAAATACACATGATGCAAGTGAAACTTGGAAGCCTCAAATTGCTCCATTGAGAACCATTTCAAAGTTTATGGCACAAACGGAATGTCACGTGCAGCCCGAGAACAGAGAAAATGTATCATCTTTGCCTGAAAAGAGTTGAGAAGTTTCTCCGGCTGATTGATTCCTCCTCAAGCCAAAACCAACATTCTTCTCTTCAACATATCGTTTTCTACGAAACCTATGACTCGAAACTCTGCTCCCTGATCTTGATCCAACTCCTGGCTTTTCAACTTTGTTAGGTTCACTCTCTCTCTCAGTACCATTCATGCTCGTGCCCATTAGTTCCATCAGGTTGCTACTGAAGCCCAAATCGGAATAGACTCTCGGTGAGTCCCTCACAGCTTGCCTACCAAATTTGCCATCCTCAGCGTTTCTAAACTCAACAGGACGCCCCATTGTTTCCACCATCATACATGGATTGTTAAAACCATTCCATAGATGTAAAGGAACCAATTTGCTCAAACCGGTTAACCAGCTGACCACCTCCTTCATAGCAGGCCGACGCTCCCTACATGACCTTACACATTTAGCTGCTATGACAGCCAACTGCTTCCTAATAATAGGATCCGCAGGAGGGGTGATCCTCGGGTCGTAAACCGCAACAATCTTCCCTTTCTTTACAAGAGGAATTGCCCAATCCACAATAGAAGGAGGTGAATGTGCAACATCAATAGCTTTTCTACCACTAATAATCTCTAACAGCAAGATCCCAAAACTAAAAACATCCGTTTTTGTACTCAGATTATCTGGGGTCACATAACATGGATCAAGATACCCCATGGTTCCGGCTGGAGGGGTTGATCTAAGCCTAAAATCATCAACGCCACAACTAAGTGCCAATCCAAAATCACCCAATCTTGCATTGAAATTCCCATCGATTAACACATTTGCAGACTTAACATCTCTATGGATAATTGGGGGGTTTTGTGAGTGAAGTGTCTCCAAGGCTTTGGCAACTTGTAAGGCCAATCGAATTCTTCGACCCCAATTCAAAGGCCTTGAAGAAGAGTTAGAGTGAAGAACATCATATAACGTGCCATTACTCATAAATTCAACAACCAATAAACGATCTTTAGCGTCATTACTAAAGCCAAGAAGATTCACCAAGCCGGGACTTTGAATCTTCGACAAGATTTCGATCTCGTTATCGGCTTCCGGGTTGGTTTCTTGGTTTCTCGAAGATGGTTTCTTAATGGCAACGTGGCGACCCTTGAGAATAGCCTTGTAGACGGAGCCGTGGCTACCTTTGCCTAGAAGCCTTTGGTCGGAGAACCCATTGGTGGCCGCTTCAAGGTCAGAGTAATCAAACTGTTGGATCCTGATGGGGTTTTCCAGCTTGTCGGAAACAGCCTTGGAAGATGAATGATGGGCGGTTGTGGTGGCGGTGGAGATTATAGACACTGCTGAGTCTGCTTTGCAAGAAAGGTAACCCATCAAGAAAAAATCAAGTGTTTTTCTTTCAAGGTCTTGTTTGTGAAATGGAAATTTTGACAGTGTACACAGGGAGATATGAATCAAAGAGTCAAGAAATTTTTCATTTCAATCCATGACTGCCAATGCGCCAAAGATCGAAGAGGAAAAAATTCTTTTAAAAAAAAAACTATATCGGAGACGAAAGGAAAGGACTTTTGGTAAAGATACGAAGTGGAAATGGCATCAGCTTAGGCGTAGACGCAGGGGCTTGGTGATGATAATATGAACAAAGAGATAGATCCCCACCAAATTGGAATCCCAAGTAAATTTTGAACCCGTCAATTAAGCCATGAAATGTGTAACAATTTGCAGCTTTTCTATTAGGTTTGATTCACTTACTGTTATGCTTGTAGAGTTGGTTACTCCGTGCATAGACCAAAATGCCTTTGAGTTCGTTTTGATTCAGAAGTGGGTATCGAACCATATTGTAATGATGTCATTAGTAGTGGCGGTGGTGTCAATCCTTTTATTTGCTGCTTTATGTGTGGTCACTAGAAAAGGGAAACCGAGTTTTCATGGTGCCCCCAAGCACACGAAACAAGAGAAAAAATATTCACGAGATATCCCAAAATTGTAGGTCACACACCAAGACCCAGTTCTTTAAATAATTACCTTCTTATATAACTGAATTGATTTTCAATGTCCTAGTAATATTTGGATAACTTAATTTTTTTTTTATAAATATGATTCATTATTCAGTAAGCATAATATGCTACAAAAATATATCAATAACCACTGTACATTTTCAAAACTTAACACCAGACTTGTTTGCCTTCTTCAGGAACTTCCAACGGAGGAACAACCACAACATTACCATTATTACTTTGCAAAGGACAATGCTGTCAAGATTGATCAAGACTCAGCGTTGATAATTTCTTTCAGTCTAGATTCCATTGATTGCCTGAACCTTCACTAAAATCTCCCTTTCTATTTGAACCCTAATTCGTAATAGTCTCGTATCAATAAAATACAAGAAAAATCAACCACAACACAACATTAATCGACATAAAACAATAAAAATGAACAAGAAAAGAGAAAGAATCAATTGAAAAAGTGGTTCCAAAGTATATTCACCTTAATACATTGGGTCAATATTAAAAACTCAATAGTTCCAAATGAGCTAGACTTAAAGCTCAACTTTAAATGGTTGTGGACATGACACATCTTACACTCTGGAGTATTTGGGAAACGATAAGGTCTCTCTCTCCAAACACTTCTGAGTAGATAGTTCAGCTTACTAGAGTTTTAAGGAATTTATATCTTCCAATAATAAGTCTCTAAATCAATCATAGTGTATGGACAAAATCTTATAGGTCCACATGATTTAATAAGATAAAATTTAAGATCTAACGATTAAATTCAACCGACAACTAGAATCTAAAGATGAATTCTGAGATAGGACTTGAGTGACATGTATACTTCCAGTTGAACAACGGAAACAGAGAAGGCAAAAAAGGCAAGAAATCTTATGGTCACATACTGGATTAGCGTATGATTACGTTCCACGTAAATAATTATAATTAGAAAAAAATGATAGAGAGAACAGGTCAGCGTTGCTCAAATAAATCTAAGTTTAAATAAGTGATTCGGTGGCAGTTTTTGATGTGAACACAGACACAAAAACGGTGCAGTGAGTCATAGTTGAATTGGTGGCAGTTTTTAAGCTGCACAAAGCTTGTGCTGTGTGTCGTGGTTTAACAAAACCGTTACCTTCCATAAATGAGAAAGTAAATGCACAGCGTGGACTCATTTCAAGCACTGCCTCAGTGCCTCACTCACCTACACTCGGTAAATGAAATGAAGACCAAATGGGTATGTAAATGACCCAATATATTACCTTACACCCACTACCCAACTAAGCTTTTCCCATACGGAACAACCAGTAAATGAGGTGCAAGAAACATCTTACCGATTTAAGTAGCCGCGTCGGCGTCTGCGCCACCTGTCTCCGGGAGCGTCTCCTCTACCTCATCGCCGCCCAAACTAAATTCTAGCGTGCTGCCATAGCTGAAGACCGTCGGAAGCATGAGCCACCGCCGTTGGTTTTCCCTCGGTCTGTTTCTCCTTACGTTAGTCGGCGGAAATCTGATGGTGACAGTGCAACGTGGATCCACCACCAGCGATTCTACACTACTCCTCAGGTGGGCCTCACCACGACCGCCTCCGGTTTTGATGCAGCCTCTACGTCTTTCAAGAAGAAACACAGGTTCTCTCTCTTTTCGAGTTTGTTCGGCACGAGATCCGATGAATTCAATTCGGATCCCAGTGTTCACCATCATCAGGAGCCGTGCAATGAGTTATCCTCGTCCTCTTCATCTTCCCCGTCTTGGTTCTTGTTGACGAAAACGGGTAAAGAAAACGAAAGAACACGAGAATTTTTACGAGGTTCGGCAATGTGCTTACGTCCTCGGTGCCTAGGCGGCGCTAGAAGTTTTATTCAATGATTTTTTTTTAGGTCTAGGTTACATCTCTATTTATAGTAGAAAACCCTGGTACATAATTACAAAATCAACCCTGTATCGTACCGCGGGGGCTGTGCCCCCGCACCCCCAACCCACATAATTCGTAACCCCACAACGAGACTTTTTATGAGCCATACATAACAAATCTCCACCTTGGCAAATATCCTGCCCCTTGGAAACTTCAATGTGGGTTGGGTTACCTTGCTTCTTTAACAACTCGAAACATTCAACAAGTCCAAGCAATGCTTGAACTTGTCTGTCGTAACTGGCTTGGTGAACATATCAGCGGCATTCTCATCAGTATGAACCTTCTGAAACAAAACCTCTCCAGATGCAACCAACTCTCTGATCTTGTGGAACCTTACATCAATATGTTTAGTTCTAGCACGATACACCTGATTCTTAGCCAAGTGAATAGCACTTTGATTATCACAAAGCAACTGAACTCCACCTTGTTGAACACCCAACTCCTTCACTAAACCAGTAAGCCATAAAGCTTCTTTTGCAGCTTCAGCCACTGCCATGTATTCAGCTTCAGTTGTAGATAGTGCCACGACAGATTGAACAGTAGAATTCCAGCAAATAGGCCCTCCACCAAGAGTAAACACATACCCTGTCGTAGATCTTCTATTATCCAAGTCACCTGCATAATCTGAATCCACATATCCTACAACCAAAGGATTATCCAGCTGACTCCCAAAAACAATTCCATGTTCCACAGTACCCTTTAAGTACCGAAAGATCCACTTGACTGCTTCCCAATGTTGCTTACCAGGTTTAGACATGTACTTACAAACTTGACTAACAGCATGAGCTAAATCAGGACGAGTACATACCATCGCATACATCAAGCAGCCAACAGCATTAGAATACGGAACCTTTGCCATATCTTCAGCTTCCTTATCTGTCTTGGGGCACTGTTCTGATGAGAGCTTAAAGTGATTCGCCAATGGAGTGCTAATTGGTTTCGCGCTGCTCATCGCAAACCTTTCTAGCATTTTCTCAACATAACCCCGTTGAGATAGCCGTAGTTTCCTTGAGTCTCTGTCGCTGCAAATTTCCATTCCAAGAATTTTCTTTGCAGCACCTAAATCTTTCATATCAAATTCCTGACTCAATAAAGTTTTCAAACCGATAACATCATCCATGTTCTTCGCAGCAATCAACATATCATCAACATACAGTAATAGAAAAATAAAAGAACCATCATCAAGGCTCTTAACATAGACACAACAATCATACTCACATCGGTTGTAGCCAATCTTGATCATATAGGAGTCAAACCGTTTATACCACTGTCTCGGAGACTGTTTCAACCCGTACAAAGATTTCTTCAATCTGCAAACTAAATGCTCGTTTCCAGGTTGAGTGAAACCTTCATGTTGCCGCATGTAGATCTGCTCCTCTAAATCACCATGCAAAAAAGCAGTTTTAACATCCATCTGCTCTAAATGCAAATCCCAACTAGCCACCAATGCAAGTACTGCTCGGATTGAAGTGTGTCTGACCACAGGAGAAAAGATTTCATCATAATCAACTCCTTTCTGCTGTGAAAAACCCTTCGCTACCAAACGAGCCTTGAACTTCTCCCCCTCTTTTTCTGTTACTACTGGTTTCTTCTTATACACCCATTTGCAACCAATCGGCTTCTTACCCTCAGGAAGAGGAACTAACTCCCATGTGCGATTGTGATTCAAAGACTCCATCTCCTCAACCATGGCTGCCATCCACTTGTCGTTTTCTTGACTAGTAACGGCATCATGAAAAGTAACCGGATCATCACTGCTAACAATAAGTGCAAAAGATACCAAGTCTTCAAAACCCAATCTGTTCGGAGGCTTTATATTCGTCCGTCTCACCCTGTCTCTGGCGAGACTATAATCCTGCAAATCATCCGTAGTGGAACCACCAGAAGTCGGTTGAGAAGTTTCTGGTTTCTCAACTGGAAACTGCTCGAAATCTACCACTGTCGTGTCTTGCTTCTGCTGCAACATAGACTGTTCATCAAAAACGACATCTCTACTAATCACAACTTTCTTCGCAACTGGATCCCAGAACTTGAATCCTTTGACACTTTTCTTGTAACCCAGAAAAATGCACTCCTTCGATTTTGCATCAAGTTTGAATCTCTCATCAGCAGGTACATGCACATAAGCAGGACAACCAAAAATCCGTAAGTTATCAAAACTAACATCATGACCAGTCCATACCTCTTCTGCAACTTTCCCAGCCAGCGATGCCCTTGGCGATTTGTTGATAAGGTAACACGCCATGTTAACAGCCTCAGCCCAGAAGTGTTTGGGAAGCCCCACATTCAACCGCAAACATCTGGCTCTTTCATTCAACGACCTGTTCATTCGTTCCGCAACACCATTCTGTTGTGGTGTCTTGCGCACTGTAAAATGCCTCTGAATCCCATGCTCCTTACAGAATTGTAGGAACTGTGAATCTGTGTACTCCATACCATTGTCAGATCGCAAACACTTGATTTTTCGTCCTGTTTGGTTTTCTACCTCAGCTTTCCACAGCTTGAACTTCTCAAAAACTTCAGATTTCTGTTTCAAAAAATACACCCAAACTTTCCGTGAAAAATCATCAATAAAAGTAACATAGTACCTAGATCCACCCAAAGACGATGTCGTGGAAGGCCCCCATACATCAGAATGCACATAATCAAGAATCCCTTGAGTTGTGTGCTTCGCAGTCTTGAAACGGACTTTAGTCTGTTTACCAAGAACACAATACTTGCAAAAATCGAGCTTACAGCTTTTGACACCATGCAACAAGTTTCTCTTGTGTAATTCTGCCATACCACGTTCACTAAGATGAGCAAGGCGCATATGCCACAATTTTGTCGTATCATCACAGGACTCAACAGAGTGAACTCCACCTGCAACGGTACTCCCTAACAATCTGAAGATATTCCCTGCAGTCATCTTGCCTTTCATCACAGTCAATGCTCCTTTAACAATCCGAATGGTTTCCCTATCCTCGTCAGCCTTAGGGATAAAACCATTCTTGTGCAAAGTGCCCAAGGAAATCAAATTCTTCTTCAAGTCTGGGATATGTCGAACACCACTCAACGTCCGAACGGAGCCATCGTGCATCTTAATTCTGACATCACCAATACCAACAATATTGCAACATCGATCATCACCCAAATAAATCGAACCAGAATTAACCGGCATGTATGTCAAAAACCATTCCCTATTTGGCGTGATGTGATAAGAACATCCAGAATCAAGAATCCAAGCATCCGTCAATTGTGTCGTTGAAATAGAAAGCATATCACCCTCACTGCAATCAGAAGTATCATCCTCGACCACGTTCACAGACTTGGATGAGCCATCACGCTTCTCATCAGTCTGCTTTTTCAACTTCGGACAGTCTCGCTTCATATGTCCCGCCTCCTTGCACTTGTAACAGTGAATCGTCTTTTTATCCCTGGATTTGGATCTGGAATTCCGCTTCCCGGACCCTGCCTTCTCTGGCTTCCGTCCACGATCTCGATTACCCTTGACATATAAACTATCGGCTTGAGAGCTTTCCCCTGCATTCTGCTTCCGCTGGTTGTGAGCCAACAAGGCTGCAGTAATCTCCTCAACATTGATAGTCTCTTTCCCATATGTAAGAGTAGTCACCATGTGTTCGTAAGAGGGAGGCAACGAACACAACAGAATCATCGCTCTGTCTTCATCCTCAATTTTCACATCAAGCCGAGCCAGATCAGAAACGATTTGATTGAAGACATTCACGTGTTGCGCCAAATCGTGATCGTCCTGCATCTTCAACCCATACAGCCGCTGCTTCAGATACAGTTTTGTCGTTAAGGATTTGGACATAAACTGACTTTCCAACTTCCTCCAAATTTCGTCTGGAGACGATAGATGCATGACGTGATACATGACCTCGTCCGCCAAGCATAATCGTATGGTTCCTGCCGCTCGCTGCTGCAATTCTTCCCAATCTTCCTCATCCATCGACGCCGGCTTTGTAGGTCGCAAAGCCTTCAAGATCCCTTGCTGCGCCAATAGATCCTTCACCATCGTTTGCCATAATCCGAAGTTACCCTGACCATCGAATTTCGCGACTTCGAATTTTGCTCCTGACATCTGATACCAATTGTTGACGAAAACGGGTAAAGAAAACGAAAGAACACGAGAATTTTACGAGGTTCGGCAATGTGCTTACGTCCTCGGTGCCTAGGCGGCGCTAGAAGTTTTATTCAATGATTTTTTTAGGTCTAGGTTACATCTCTATTTATAATAGAAAACCCTGGTACATAATTACAAAATCAACCCTGTACCGTACCGCGGGGGCTGCGCCCCCGCACCCCCAACCCACATAATTCGTAACCCCACAACGAGACTTTTTATGAGCCATACATAACAGTTCTCGGCGATTTTTACAGCTGGTAAAAAAAATCAGCAATCTTCAAGGACATCTCGTGCGGAATATTGTAGCCAATTCGGCCATAGTGATCAGAGATCATGCATACATCGAGGAATATCGCCTGCGATCCAAGCGAATTCGGGAGGAGAGTGTGATCGGTCGGCACCGGGAATCCCTCCGGAGGTTTCGCCGCGGTGGAAGAGGACACCGACGGCAGGTAGGAGAGCTAGAACCGGGGAGAGGAACAAGTCGGGAATGGCGTTTTGTTTGAGCCCGCTGGTGAGGCCGAGTCCAAACCGGCAGTGGAACCTAAAGAGCGGATTGTCGCCTGAAATGACGTACACAAGCGAAAGTAGGCCGCCGATGAAGCCCCACTTGGCCACTGCGGCGGGATTTTGTGCGAATAGGTCCAAGAAGATTGCTGATTTTGGTAGAGTCAACTCTAACCGTTGACATTTGACACAGTGATCATGAAAATACTACAAACATTTTTTAAGTAAAATGAGAGGAAAACGCATGCTATACAGATGCTTCTTACCGTCAGTATTACTTATGAAAGAGATTATTATTTTCGAATCTTATAAAAACGTGTCAGATAATCCAACCTTTTATCATGCGTGATAAATTAGATCAAAAGTATTTTTTAATCACTAATAACGTATATATATATTTTTTAAGTCTTGAATGAAAATATATTATATAACGCGTAGTTAGCAAAAGTTTGTAAATAAATATAGTAGGTTGCGCATAATGAACATTGATGGTATCTTGACATTAGTAGATTATGATATGTTTGGAGCTTATATGAACTAATATGTGGTTTATGTTTTAGGTAAACAATACATGTTGAATGATTATAGGTGTTTGAAATGTGTAAATAATTTATGACTTAAGAATATAATATGTTTGTATAGATTTTTAATTTCGAGTTTCAAAATTTGATTTTAAAATTACTAATATGAGTTAGTTTAAGTGGTAAGCAGCTTGATATCGCTTAAGCAATGTCTCGAGTTTAAGTTCTTGTGCATGCAGAAAATCCCTATTGAAAGACCCATCCACCAAGTCAAATGTGCGACGTGAGTCAATCCGAATTAGTGAATGTGAAATCTTAAACCGGGAGGACGAAAAAGAAATGATTTTAAAATCGATGGTAATAAACACCATTTTAGTATCGGATTTTGAGTTTCAAAACTTAAGGTGCGATTTTGATACTCGAGATTGGGTTTGGATACTCACTTGTTTAAAATGGGTCATTTTCATATTTAAACTTTTTAAGTGCTTGAAAATGTTCAGATTAGTCCTTATAGTTGTCGTATAAGATAATTTAATCCTTCAAAATGGCATTTGATGTACGTGTTAATGCATGGATGTCTATATATTCGAATTTTGATCAAAACCGATTAAATATGATTTTTAAATGATTGATGCAATATCTTTAGATCGATTTTCGATTGAATTAAATTAGGAATATTATATTTATGTATCATTTTTTATAGATATAAAATAATAAATAGACTTAACGTAAAAATAAGTATTTAAATTATATCTTAAGTTAATTTTAGGTGTTTAAAGAAGTTTTTCGTTAAGAATATATGTTTAACACTTTTGATATTACACTTTTAGACGTCTTGACTAACGGTCGTTATCTTACACATGTCACATTTATATTTTTTAAAAATATAATTTTTTTTAAAAAAAATATCTTCTCCCATTTGCACAACCACTCGTCTGCGTAAAAATTCTCCTTCTTCCCCAGTTGCATTTATAACCACTCCATCGTTCCCTTAAATCCCTAAAGTTAACTTAGGGAGATGGGTATTAGGTTTAGGGATTTAAGCTTGAATTTATAAACTTAGGGGATTGGTACGATTACAAGATAGATGACCGGTGGTGGAGGTCTGACGACGATTGAGTGGTCGTTCAATGATGATGAAGGGGGTCGGTGATGGCCAACGATAGTTGGTAATGGAGTTGAAATGAGAGATTTTAGGGTTACATGATTTTTTTTAATTCCATAAAAAATATTTTTTATTAATAATAATATTAAGTATTTTTAAATAAAAAATTTAAAAAATATAAACATAACTCATGTCACTTAATGATTTTTTTTTCAACGGTCGTTATTGCGTAAACACCTAAAAGTATAATGTTAAAAATATTAGACATCTATCTTCAACGAAAAAATCTTTAGACACTTAAAATTAATATATGATATAGTTTGGACACTAATTTCTACATTAAACCTAATAAATAATTTAAAGATAAAATAACATTTTATCTTTGAATTTAATATTTTTCTAAATTCAGTTTTAAAACTTTATTTATTAATTATTACGGTTAACTGCATACAAAAACACAAAAATAAATAAAATATTAAATAAATAATTTTCCTAATTGTTTTTATTTAATGAGTGTGTTGAAACTATCATCTGAATTCTGACATTTTCCATGTGCTCCCCTCCTCTCCCCTACCCTCGTAATTACAGATTTTCATCTGAATTATCATCAACGCCATTGCCAACGCACAACTTATTAAATACGAATCTGACTTCATCTTTCTTTAAAATTTCCCCAACATTAATTTTCTTCCCATAAATTTCCATAGTTGTTAAAAAGTTTCATAAAATAACTTAATATGCCCAGTGATAAACGTATAGTCTTGTGAGGGTTGGTTTAATGGTTTGAATAATCATTAGCACGTTAATAAAATCTAAGATTCTAGTAACTATGTTTGTAGGTTATGTGCATTGTCAATAGTTAAGAAAGATTACGGATAAATACCGATTCTTGTAATCACCTCAAACTATTAAAAAAGAAGTTCCATATACCTGATATAGTATTAGTTTTTAATGTTAGTTGTGCTTTGCATGGCACCCTTTTGATTTTGGTTTTAATTTCGCTATAAATAGATAGATAGATGAACTAGCATGTTAACTGCTAATTAAACCAGAAAACATAATACATAATCCCACACCGAACAAGCCTACCCTACTACTACAAAGGCTGATGACAATCTTGTGTCTAGGACTAAAGCGAAAACAGAGATTGACTTCCCTGGTAACAATTATAGTGTTTTCTTTTTCATTTTTCTACTCAAATCAGGAGAATGTAAGTGATAGAAGACTACCAAATCCATGTTCCATGGCAGACAGTTGGATGTGTTCACTATACATGATGGGGTTCCTCAATATCATCAGTATGTGATTGTGATCCCATTTTCCTTGCCTTTGCATCATCTATATAATTTTGATAAATGTAAGAGCAAAAACCACATAGTGCCATAAGTGTAGCAATTACCTTCACCGCATTCATCTTGTCATGGAAAACTATCAGAGCAGCCAGAGGTGTGATCACCAACGACATTGTACTGATTATGTTGGAGAATAACGACGACACCGTGAAAATCAGCCCCACCACACCAACGGCACATACTTGCCAACTTATGGCCGTCCAAACCAAAGTCAGCACATACGAAACTCTCCCGCTGTCGAAGCCCTCCATCTCTTTCTGCAACCCCTTCCACTCCCCACTCGCAAACAGGCCCACGGTCGAAACACAAGTCGCCACAAGTGATGTATAAATCTGCATCTCCAATACCACACTAAATGTTTCCTTTCTTAACACCTTCTCAAATGAAAGTTGCATAAGGGAGAGTAAAAGGGAGCAAACAGCTGAAGCTCCCAGGGTGCATAAGAAGCCGAGGAAATACTTCCCCTTGGAAACTCCTGACGGTATTTCCGAATCTTCATTCACTGCAATCAGAGCAGCCGACAACGAGAGGATACCCACAGAGTTTAGAATTAAAGCAGTCATCTTCTGCGAATTAAGGAAGTAGGAAAAAACAGCATTGAAAGCTAACTGGGTGGAACAAATGAGGGAATAAGTGGAGGCTGACAGGTACAACAGCCCAACGGAGTACAACATACTGTCACCAGCTACAAGTAATCCAAGAAAAACATAGATCAAAGCAACAAATTTAATGGAAGAAGAAGTTGAAGTCGTCAAAATTTCAAGTTTGAGAGATGGATGAAGAAGAAATAAAGGGATGAGAAGGATTGGAAATCCAGCAGTTTGCACAAAAGTTGCCATCCATTCACTATTTCCACCTTGAAAATAATAAAATCTCCCCAGAAGAACTGCAGCAGCTTGGCCTACAACAAGGAACAAAATATTGATGGCCACCACAAGCCACCATTGCCAGCGCCCGAGTTTAAGAAATGGTGATTGATCCACTAAATTTTCATCCATGATCAGAAACGGTTCTTGATCATCTGTAATTGAATATAACTCAAAGTGTAAATAAACAATCTTATCTAATAACTTTCGATAATCGAAAACATTCATTGTGAAAAGTGAAAATTTTAATCACAAATCTAAAAACCTTCTCGAACATAGTTATCTTAAAAATTACAAGGATCCACAAATCCGTATTATACCAACATATTTCAATAAGAATCTGGAAAACAATTCAGTAAGCAAACATAAAACTAAAAGCGAAGAAGTGTATTTCCAAAGAGTAACTGTCTATATAATTAGTGGGAAAATGTGTTAAAGAATCATCTAATCGCGAATCACCAGGGAAAAACAAAGTCTAGTAATAAAGGCGCGGAGTCTGCTCATGAACAAAGGGAACAAAAACAAAGAGCATGACTTGAAAGGGGAACTTACCGGGTCAGAGTGATGAAAACAATTTCTAACCATTCATTTTTCGAATCTGAGGAGAACCCAATAAAGCAAAAACGAGGGGAAATATAAAGAAAGGGCATACTTACGCTTCATGGTGCCAAGGTTGGTTGGAGCGTTGAAATTTGAATCGAAGCAAGAAGACGAAGTGAGACTCTTGTGAAAAAACAAAAACAAAGAGAGAATAAAAACGAAAGATCTTTCCTTGGGGGAGTAGTTGGTGCCAACCGCCTCTGCAACAAGGTACTGTAATTCTATTGGACGAAAGAGAAGGTTAAAATTTGCAGATTGCAGCTTCTGGTAGTCTTGCTACTTGACACTTGACAGTGATTCCTCAACTACTGGTTGTTGTCATGCTACTTTATTTGGCTTGTTATTATGTTTATTTTACAAAGGAATGAAAAAAGTATCGTGTCTGTTATTAAAAAGAGCAAGCGGTTCAAATATTCTGTATGAATTAGATCTGAATGTGACATACTATTTAATAATGGCTCTGAACCATTCAGAATGTACTTTGATGCTGAATCATTCAACATTGTTTTACTGAATCAGTCAGCACTAAATCATTCAGAGGTGCGAAACAAACGCGCTGAATGATTCCATTCAGAGCCAAACAAACAACCCCTAAGTTGGTAAGAAAGATACAGTCGGATTCAATAAAATCGAAATTTTTTAATTTGATTGGAACTTTTTTAAGATAAAATCGAATCGAATTGAAGTACAGGATAAAATATTTAGACCTAATATGATAACACAATTAAATCTTAATCTATATTATCATTATATATTGAATCGGTGCAGATTTTTATTTTAAAAATCAGATCAAATTTTAAATAAAGTCGAATGACAAACAAAAAATATAACATTTAGATCAATTTCAGATTAGTCAAAAATCTGATCTATACTCATTTATATTTGTGCTATAGAAAGGCCACCAATGTTTTCCTTGTAAGATGGAGAGCGCATTTGTCATATAGGTAAACCAACACTGAACAAAACGTAGGAGATGAGAAACGGGAAGCCCATTCCGCTGGCATTTGCTTTGCTCTAATGGTGACGAACAAGAATCGCCTATTAGATCGAATGGTAAAGAAATTCAATGTCTCTTAAATAAGATTTCAAATTCAGATCTTATGAATAAAGAAAACATCAGAAAATTCTCTCTTCCTGCCCGACTACAAATTTAGTTGGTTGAAAAAAGTCTCTGAATCAATCAATCAGTCTATCCTCTTAAGAAATCATCCCAGGAGATGATGACGATTCGGGCCAATAACACACCATATAAGAAAAGAATACCTCTGGTATCTATCGTAGGGAGAAATCTGAAAACCTTATAAACACGGCTATTCGAGGCCACTAATCATGATAAGAAATTTATCGTCTAAGAGGACTCATGGCATCGTTCCAAACTCTATATCCACTATTCTTTTAAACAAAATCGAACTGAATATGAATAACGGTACGTAAATTCGGCACTAACGTTTGTTTGAGATCACAAGAACCCTGGACATTATATAGGAGAGGTTCGGACTAGCCTTACTATCATAACAAATCTCCTCTCTCATGCGATGTCCTTAAATATACTACCAATACCCGAACACCCGATGCTGTGAAACTGGGGAGGATAGATTTTTTTACAACACTTCTGTAGGATCACTGAAGCATAAATGTCACCATCGAAAACTTAAGATTGAGATGCATCCTACAGACTGTTGCGGTGACTGAGATGCATTTGCATCGGTAGACTTAAGATTTACATCAACCATGGCTTCTTGCTTTGTTGAATGAAGTGTTTCCATTCCAGGCAAAGCAGCTGCAATCTTTTGAAATATAGCCTTTAAACAAATCAAACGAATAGAGTGAGTTGGAAATCGATAGATTGACCAGTAATTCTGGAGGAAGAGGACACTCGTAGAGGACTGAAGATGCAAGTTAAACATTTTTTTATAAAATGTTGCATCCATGGGATATGATGGAGTTGATGCAAATGTGACAAATAAACAACCAATCAATCTTTTAGTGATTAGATAATGGGTTTTCACCCCTTAATAACATTGATGTCATTATAATTTTCATTAGCTTCTAGCAAACAGTCTAAAGTAAGATTTCTAGCAAGGTTCATGATCGGGTACCGATGGTTTATCTTGATATTGAAGCCAGCCATGGCGCTAGTTTCAATAAACATAACATTGGGCTCAAGAGCCTTGGCTTCTGCTTCCTCTATTAAGACTTGCCTTGAAATCAGCCACAAAATGCACAATGAATGAACAGAAATCAAACAATGGAGACTAAGTGCAAGAATTAATCTACCGAAGACTTTGTATCGGTGTCTTTCAACTTCACACCAAAATAATGACCAGACTAATGGCAAGGCAATTGTAAACTAGAAAGTAAGCGAAAGGGAATATACCATTTTCCGAAGAAAGTCCAACCATGATCATATATTAGTATTACCTTTTGTCCACAAGATCGGTTTTGTTCCCAACAAGCACAATGATTACATCACTACCCCACTCAGTCCGCACCTCTTCAATCCACTTTGAAGTATTTGTGAAGGACTGCCTGCCTACACCATTAAAATCAGATTAGGTAAACTCCGGCCGCAAGTAAGTAAGAGAACGAGCAGGGAAGATGGCATTTCACAAATCGGAAACATATTGCCTATGCAAACACGCATAAAACATACCATCTGAAGAAGCAAACAAACGAGATAGGAAGATTGAAAAGCGGGAGTACAAAGTGAAATGGTAACATACTTGCAACATCGTAGACGATAACAGCAATGGAGGAATCCCTAATGTAACTTGGAATAAGACTCCTGAATCTTTCCTGTCCTGCAGTATCCCAGTAATAAATATTAAAGCATATTAATATCAACGATGCCATGCTTGTCGAATACTTTTGGAAAGAAATAACTCGTGCCATCGATGAATAAAAATCACAAACAAACAACAGAAAGAGTTCATCATCATACCCTTTATTCAATCCTTGGTAAGGATGCTGTTAACTATATCATATTCTGTCAACCATAGGTATTACCGAGGCGAATAAATCCATAAAAAGCTATACAATCAACAAATAAAAGCACATTTTCGAATCAACATCTAAACGTAAATCGCCCCTAATGAGACATTCCAAAAATCAGGAATACGAGCGGTATGAATAACACACTGAATACTTGTATAACAAAATGAATTCTCTACCAAGAAATCACACCAACTGGATAAGAAAGCAAAGCTTGGAAGAGAACTCTAAATATAGAAGTAAAAAGAAGCAGCAATCAGAGAATAAAATAGCAAGCCAAAGGATATATAAGGTCAAAAACGTCCACAATACAGTGGCATAAAATAAACGACGTTAGCCTTAGCGTCTTACCATAGCTGCAATCGAACAGTTCGATCTTCGAGGTACATTGTTTTCGATGGGAAGTCAATATGTCACGATGGAAGGTGGGTTAGGGTTTGAAGGTATGAAATTGGGGAAAGTTAGAAGAGATGAATTAGGGAAACAACAGTTGCATCTGGGAGAGGAACGGGTGCAATTAGGGATTAAAAGGGGGCTAGGGATTGATAGGTTATTTGAGTAATTGGGAATTAAAGAGAAGAAGGGATGGGTAAGGGTCTGAGATATGGGCTGGTATAAGGGTTGCATAGTTGGGCTTATTTTGATTTAACCTAACTAAGTTATATTTGGGTTTATATGTTTGGGCGTGAGTTTGTTAAATTAAATCAGGAGATAGATGGAGAAGGGTGAGTTAGCATATTAGACAGTTATTTTGTTAGCAACTGGTACTTGTTGATATATAAATTGTACCAAACCCTTTGAGGGAATCTAAAGAATGAATTTGCAAGTTTTCTGTACCTATTTCTCTCTTCATTTCTTAAATCCCTAAACATTTCTCTACTTCTCGATCCTAAAACATAACAATATAACATAACAATTGGTATCAGAGCCCAAGAAATTAAAACATAAAGTGAAGGTGTTAGAGCCCAAGAAATTATCTGAAGCCTACAAACAAGCAAAGTTGTATGAGCTAACTAATGAGATCGAAGGGAAGAAGTACAAATCTTCTAACAAATTTTTTTACACTTCTTCAAGCAGTCCACAAGGCAGTGGGAATAAAGGTTTCCTACCTAAGACAGTTCCTCCTAATATTAATACAAAGCAGAGTTTGGTAGATTATAGGAGGGTACATAATTTGTGTTTTAAATGTGGGGAAAAATTTGCTCCTGGACTGCTGAACATGAGTTGATTGATGGAGAACCAGAAGAAGTGGAAGAAACAACAAATGAAGCTTTGGAAATCTCTATTAATGCTATTACAGGAAATGTGGGGCATACTACTTTGAGAATTCAAGGGTCCATTAAGGGAAAACCTATTAATGTGCTGATTGATAGTGGTAGCACTCATAGTTTTGTGACTCCTAAGTGGGCTAAAGAAGGAGTAGAGGTAGTTAATACTCAGCCATTGGTTATCACAGTAGCCAATGGTGAAAAATTGTTTAGTACTGCCAGAAGCAATATGGTGAGTTGGAAGATGCAAGGCTATGAATTTCAGCATGATTTCAGAGTATTATCTTTAGGAGGCAGTGATATGGTATTGGGGGTGGACATGATGGAGGAATTTAGCCCCATATTGATGGATTTTAAGGCAAAGACCATTAGTTTTGAGAAAGATGGGAAGACTGTAGTGATTAGAGGTACTCAAAAATTACCACTAATCAGACCCATAACATGTGAAAAATTTCAGAAGTTGGTGGAAAAAGATACTAACTTGACTGGAGAAATGTATTTGTTAAGTGCTGAAGTGCAAGATAGTTTCATTCCTCTACCTCTACATGAATTATTGGCAGAGTTTAAGGAAGTATTTGAAGAACCAAAAGGGATGCCTCCTAGGAGAAAGCATGATCATGCTATTGTTTTGAAACAAGGAACACAACCAGACAATTTGAGACCCTATAGATTTCCTTATCATCATAAGACTGAAGTGGAAAAGCAGATTGTGGACATGTTATCTTCTTCTATCATACAGATCAGTAAAAGCCCTTTTGCTTCTCCTTGCTTGCTTATTAAGAAGAATGATGGAACTTGGAGATTTTGTGTAGACTATAGGCAACTTAACTCTGCATACTGGCAAATTTTTTTTCATCTTATAGTAGAATACCTATTAGATGAACTACATGGTGCTAATTTTTTTTCAAAGATTGATTTGAGATCTGGGTACTGGCAAATCAGGATTAAAGATGAAGATATTCCTTAAACTGCGTTTAGGACTCACCAAGGGCATTATGAATTCAAGGTGATGCCTTTTGGACTTACTAATGCCCCAACTACTTTTCAAGCCTTGATGAATGATCTGTTTGGAGCTTATTTAAGGAAGTTTGTTCTTGTATTTTTTGATGATATTCTGGTTTACAGTGCTAGTTTGGCAGAACACAAACAACATTTGAGAATTGTGTTAGAGATTTTGTTGAAGAATAAGTTATATGCGAAGAAGAGCAAATGTTTTTTTGGGAAGCAACAAGTTGAGTATTTGGGGCATCTCATTTCAGCTAAGGGAGTAGCAACTGATCCTTCTAAAATTAAAGCTATGCAAAAATGGCCTCTTCCTAAGAACCTGAAAGCTTTGAGGGGGTTTTTGGGTCTCACAGGGTATTATAGAAAATTTATTAAAGGGTATGGAGAATTGAGTAAACCCTTGGCAAATATGCTTAAAAAGGAGGGATTTCATTGGTCTACAGAAGCCAAAGAAGCTTTCGAAAAATTAAAGGTGGTTATGTGTGAAGCTCCAGTTTTGGCTCTACCCAATTTTGAACAGAAATTTTTTTTAGAGACTGATGCTAGTTCAAGGGGAATTGGGGTTGTTCTATCTCAGGCAGGCAGACCTATAGCTTACTTGAGTAGGGCTTTGGGTCCTAAGCATGCAGACCTTTCTATCTATGAAAAAGAGTATTTGGCTATTTTGATGACAGTATCTCATTGGAGACACTACTTGGAGAGTGGGTCTTTTGTGATCAAAACAGATCATGAACCCCTAAAACATCTCCTAGAACATAAATTAACTACAGTAATACACAAGAAGGGTCTTACAAAGTTACTTGGGTTTAATTATACCATTCAGTACAAGAAGGGAAGATCTAATAAAGCGACATATGCACTTTCTAGGCAGCAGTTGGATTCTGGTGAATTTTTACAGATAGGAGTCACATTTATAACTCCTACTTGGGTAAATGACATTGAAAACAGTTATGAAGCTGATGTCATAGCTCAAGAAAAAATTCCTATTCTGGTTCTTCAACCAGATAGTGTGCAAGACTGGAAGTTCACTAAAGGAGTATTATATTATAAAAACAGGATATATATTGGAAGCACAGGAGACCTTAGACAGAAGGTAATTATGGCTTTACATGATTCCCCACAAGGAGGACACTCTGGTATTCAAGCTACATATCAGAGACTTAAATCTTTTTTTTTTTGGCCAAGAATGAAGATTATGACTCAAGAACATATCAAGCAGTGTGATATTTGTCAGAGGACTAAAGTTGAGCATATTCCTAAGCCTGGATTATTACAGCCTATTCCAGTTCCAAATAATGCTTGGGAGGTGATAACAATGGACTTTATTGAAGGATTACCACCTTCAACAAAGTACAAGTGCATTTTGGTGGTGATTGACAAATTTATTAAATATGCTCATTTTTTGCCTTTATCTCATCCCTACACAGTGGTGGAGGTTGCTAAGGTGTATCTGGATCAGGTTTATAAATTGCATGGTCCTCCTAAAGTTGCTATTTCTGATAGAGATAAATCTTTCACCAGTTTATTTTGGCAAGAATTACTTAAACAACTAGGGACAACTACTTATTTTAGTACTGCTTATCATCCAGAAACAGATGGTCAGAGTGAGAGACTCAACCAGTGTTTGGAGCAGTATCTAAGGAGTATGTGTTTTCTCAAGCCAAGTTCTTGGTCAAGGTTGCTTCCACAAGCTGAATTGTGGCATAATACTAATTACCATACAACTTTACAAATGACTCCATTTGAAGCATTATATGGGTATAAGCCTCCTAATTTAAACTGGTCAGGGGAATCAAGAGTAGATGCAGTACAAAATATGATGCAAAACAGGGATCAATTGAATATATTCCTACGAGAATAGCTACTCAAAGCAAGTAATAGAATGAAACAAATGGTGGATAAAAACCGCACTGACAGGGAATTTCAAGAAGGCGATGAGGTTTACCTCAAACTTCAACCATATCGACAGACATCTCTGGCGTTGAGGAAGAATCTGAAACTTGCTGCTAGGTTTTTTGGTCCCTATAAAATACAGAAGCGAATAGGTCAAGTTGCGTATAAACTTGAATTACCACCAGAATCAAAGTTACATCCGGTGTTCCATATAAGTTTGCTTAAGAAGAGAATAGGGAAGCAAGGATTGACCTCGATAAACCCTCCGGAGGTTGCATCGGACGGACAACTTAAAGTTTATCCAGCCACAGTTTTGAATCGACGAGTGGTAAGAAGACGCAATCAAGCAGTTAATCAGTTTCTTATTCAGTGGATGAACATGACTCCCGCATATGCCACTTGGGAAGATGCTAAGGTACTGAGGACTCAGTTTCCCGATTTTGATCCTTGGGGACAAGGATCTATTGATGGAGGGGGTATTGTCACGATGGAAGGTGGGTTAGGGTTTGAAGGTATGGAATTGGGGAAAGTTAGAAGAGAGAAATTAGGGAAACAACAGTCGTATCTGGGAGAGGAACGAGTGCAATTAGGGATTGAAAGGGGTCTAGGGATTTATAGGTTATTTGAGTAATTGGGAATTAAAGAGAAGAAGGGATGGGTAAGGGTCTGAGATATGGGCTGGTATAAGGGTTGCATAGTTGGGCTTATTTTGATTTAACCTAACTAAGTTATATTTGGGTTTATATGTTTGGGCGTGAGTTTGTTAGATTAAATCAGGAGAGAGATGGAGAAGGGTGAGTCAGCATATTAGACAGTTATTTTGTTAGCAGCTGGTACTTGTTGATATATAAATTGTACCAAACCCTTTGAGGGAATCTAAGGAATGAATTTGCAAGTTTTCTGTACATATTTCTCTCTTCATTTCTTAAATCCCTAAACATTTCTCTACTTCTCGATCCTAAAACATAACACAATACCAATGGTAGTCTGGTGTACAAATTAGAGACACAAATAACCTCAGAAATCGGGGGAAAGGAATCACGAAAGAACCAAAGGAAATTAAGCAAAAACTATACGAAATCTGAATCACGATCAAAGAACATTAATAAAACAGAAGAAAGAAGACGACCGAGCTGTTAAGAAAGTTGGGAATAAAGAGCGGACCCGTGAAATCGGCATTAAAGAAGATTGGATGGCGTGGTAAAAAAAACAAATACCTGGTAGGTGCTATCGAATTTATCGTACAAGTGATGATACTGGTCTTCC